TATGAGAAGTGCTTAGCACAGTACCTGATGTGTAATAAGCTTGATAAGAACACTATTATATTCATAATCTTAAAAGAATACTAATGTAGACAGGATTTTCTCATTTTTCAATGGGAAAAGAAGATCAAAAGGTTAAATAATATGCCCAGTGAGCATTGGGACTGTAGGTAGTGTTAAGGTCCTCATGTTAGCCCAGGGTTATTCCCGTTGTATCAAAATATATCAGATTTTGGGAAGGATAAAGTGTCACTACCATCTGTGAGCATTGTCACCCTCAGTCTGTCTTGGACTGTCAGTTACACTCTAAAAACACCAATTGCCATCAAGTCGATTCTGACTCATGGCAACCCTGTGTGTGTCATAGTAGGTCTGTGCTCCGTAGGGTTTTCAGTGGCTGATTTTTCAGAAGTAGATCTCCAGGCCTTTCTTCCAAGGTGCTTCTGAACGGACTCGAACCGCCAACCTTTCTATTAGCACCCAGGCACATTAATCATTGGCACAACCCAGGGTCTCCCAAGTTATACTTTACTATCTTTAAAATTCATCCTAGAAAGAGTTCAGGTCAAGGAAAGAGCTACTAGAGGGTTATATGCTGCATTATTTGTCTGGTAAACTTCACTAATTTTCAGGATTTTTTCATTGATTTTGAGTCTGCGAAATGAATTCTTACCAGTATGTCAATATTTCAACTTGCACCTCCCCCCCTTTTTAGGTAAATGTTCTTTTGAGAAACTTCAGGTTTGTCTGTGTTGAATTTAGAGTAGTTAGGGAGCAGACAGAGTTAGTCTGGCAAATGGTAGGATCTCACTGAGTGTTATTTATGTTAATGAAGTGATGAATCAGTACAATAGGGAAAAACGAAACAGATAATCTGTTACTTTATGAGGCCCTTTTAATGTGTCACAGATACCTCAGAGAATATGATTTAAAAACTGTGGACCCTTTCCCCAAAAAAGGTGTTATACACTAAGTTTTAAATACAATTTTAAAGTATCATTTAGATTCTGAATTAAGAACTGATTTAAACAGTATTCAGCTGTGGGGGGGGAATAT